ACAATTAACTGCGGGTTTACCGTGACTTTGTAATCGCCACAGATGCGGACGCTCCCATCGCGTTTCAGAATTGGGACTATAGGGGTCGCCCATTTGGACGTAGCCACTTTTTCAAGAATACCAGCGGACTCTAATCTGTCTAACTCTTGCTCTACTAGCGGCAACAATTTGAATGGTACAGGTCGAGCTCTTACGAATACCGGCGTGGCATTTGGCTTTAATGTTAAATTCGCTTGAACGCCTTTGATAGCCGGTGGTTCAGTAGAGCATACTGTTTGAAATCTTTGCAATACAGATTGTAACTTATTTTTTTGGCTTTCTACTCGATTTATTGAAGCCTTGCAATGCCAGAAATCAGATTCAATTGACAATTGTCGTATCCACTCTCTGCCGAGTAGTGGTTTCTTACTGCCAGTTACTAAATACACGTTTAATTTCTTGCTTACAGATTTGAATTTTACATTCACCGAAACATATCCTACGCTCCGCAAGGTGCGATTGCAATATGAGATTAACTTTAGATCTGTATGGTAAACGGGCACACCGGGAAAGAGAGTAGCGGCCCTGCACTTACTCATTACCGTAACAGCTGCTCCACTGTCCACTTCAAATTCCACATACTTTCCATTTACCTCGAGAGTAATCATGAATTTATCACGAGCGTGTATGTGTTCTAATTGTAGAAGTTCTTGCAACTGGTTTGTAGAGGAGCTGTTTCCGAAGCATACCGCACGCAAATGTCCTAACTTCCCGCAGCCATGACAACGCACATCACGACTGAGCGTACATTTGGAAGCTAGGTGTTGTTTACCGCACCTAAAACATTTTACAGTTTTTACATCTGATTTAGAACGCGCGTTTGTCGCCTTACTACTAGATTTGCTAGACTGTTGTTTGACGTGTTTACCCGTAGCACCTTTAGCGGGTGGTTTCTTACCAGCTTTCAGGTACTCTATACCTGCGGAAGTTGCGTCAGCGCCATTCAACTTCATTTGCTCTGAACCTTTTTCTGATAACTCCATGGTAACAGCCACGTTTACGGCTTCGTCGAAGGTCAAGTTTTTCTTTTNCAGTAAACGCGCCTGAGCCCTTTTATTCAACAGACCAAAAACGAGCTGATTTCTCAGCGCCGTCTTTAAGTAGTCTCCGAATTTGCAATGGACGCTCAACTTGTGCAAGGCCGCCACATACTGCTGTACCGTTTCTCCCTCGAGTTGTCTTCGCTGGTGAAATTTGTAATTTTCAGCGATCTCCAATGGCGCCGGTTCGTAGAATTCTTCTAATTTCTGGACCAACTCATCATATAATTTTGCGAATGGATCATCAGGGTCCAACCGATCGCACAAGATGTCAAAAGCCGTGGCCCCCACGTAGTGTAGCAGATAGGGCACTCGGGCATTGTCTTTGATTCCGAAAACCATAAAAGCGCCTTGCAACCGCAGTAGCCAACGTCGCCACGTAGCCACGCTCGGATCAAATGCCTCGATCGCAAGGGAGCCGAGTATCGCGGGTCTTGCTCCAGCACCTTCTTGAGCCATCGTGGNACAGAATCGAAAGATGTACTTTGGCCCAGATTATTTGAAAAGTACAACGTGTACACGAATTTGCAAGGTCTTCACGCCGCGCACGCGGTTTTAGGTTATCTCTGACGTGGCACCTCTATTTACGGACGTCCCGTCCAAAATCCCATCCCATCCTCGTCGCCAATTTTGTTATGTATCAGGGATGGCGGGATCGGTGGATTACAATGAACACGCACAGTATTTTCACCGTTACACTCTTTTAATGACGGTATCAGTATACAGACGTATGACTCTGTACTGCGTGCTACGCGGTGCCGGTGCCAAGTGCTAATCGCCGAGCTTCTCGAACAAAATTTGCGAGATCGGAAAAACCGGAAACGCGAGCGCGCGCACGGATGATAGCTAAACCTGAACAGCGAGTGCGCGCGTAACTCGAAAAGTGAATCCATACCTAACAAGTCTTTTACAATTAGACCTTGTTTATGCGGGCAATAACTGTTAACTTATGCTGGAACTGGTAAAGTTCAACTGTAATATTATGATATTTCTGTTTATACGCATGCGGCAATGAAGCGATCATAAATGTAATGTATTATTCTCATATTTATTAAGTAATATAAAACAATGGGTGTTTTCCAGCTATGTACAGTCGACACTGTGTAANACAATNTCCACTAGTGTGAATGAGATACACTGACATGCTCTTTTTCACGCTAATAGACAGTATGTTATACATTTAACCTTACTTTTTTCGGAAATTTGACGTGGTAGGTCAATTTTGCCACCGGATTTGTTTTTAGTGACCACAAATTTATTAGAAAACACTTTGTTTATTTAAGTATCAACATATATTAACAAAAAATTAGTTTGCAATGTAAAAATGTACTCTTTAAATTATATTTAATAATAATAAGAAAAGTATTTTTATTCATTGTTGCAGGTATATTGCAATATTTTTAATAAAATAATAATTTAAATAATTAAAATGAGATGTGTAAGATAGCTTGAGAATAAGTAGACAAAAATAATTATATGTTAGTAAGGAACACAAGTGGTCTCGCGGACTGAGTGTAGGGGCTGCGAATATGGAGGTTTCGAGTTCAAATCCCGCTATGACATTTAGGATTTTTTCAGATTCGGTCTTTTTCAATGGAGTTCATCGGTTGATCAACGAGCTGAATCAGGCTTCTAGAAATTAATTCGATTAAAATCTCGAATTAATTCCTTTCCGATAAGGCGATATACCACTGATTTTCTTTTTTTTTGTTTGTAGTAATTTCACTTGGATTTTAGGGGACAGATCTGATCTGCGTTTGGTAGCAATCTGTCGACGTTTTTGACGACAAATTTGGTCTGTACTTGCTACTGTTTTGTTAACAGTGCTGGTAACAGATATGATGTGTATTTGGCGCGATTTGAGCGCCAACAAACAATCACCAAATCTGTTCTGGATTTGGTGCGTCACTTTGGCTTTGCTTTGCTAGTGGCAGACTTGTTATGATTTTGGTCTCATTTTGACATCTCACATGTTTGACAGATATGGTCGCCAAACCATATCCTAATGAGGACACAGATGGATATGGATTTGGTCTACTAATTTCGCCGGCGGTTGGCGACAAAACTGCGACTCGCAACCAAATTGTTTGCTAGGTTGTTGTATAAAATAAAACTATTTGTGATATTGCTTGTGGCTGAAGGAAGACTATTTGTAATAATTTTATGTAAAAAATTAGCAAAAGAATAAAGCGGGCTGTTTATGGAGGAGACAATGATTCTGAGAGGTATGTTCTCTTTGTGGATTTTGGGAAGGCCATAAGCCTGAGGTAACTGTTTATTACTAGATTTAAGATAATAATATTTGCGTGAGTCTATAACCTACCTCTGTTGAGCCAACATTTGAGTATGTCATAAAAATTGGATTCAATCTTCCTGATCGGATCGTAATTAGTAATTTGGTAAGTGTTTGTGTCACTAAGTAAAGATTTCATTTTTTGTGAGTAATCCTGTCTATTCATAGCAACTGTTACGTTGCCTTTGTCCGCACGCAAAAATCACATTAGGCTGTTTTTTTATGTAGTTTATGCATGCTTTGTACATAATAAGTAATTTCTTATCTGTGTGTGAAAAGTTACATTTATTACAATATTAAGAAAATATTGTAGTCTCGGTATGATAATAATTCTCGCTCTTGCTTTCAAATCAATATCACAGTTTTTAAGATTAAATTCAGTTAATGTATAAAATGTTTATCTTATATTTTACATTGCGACCGCTTATTATTTTCCGACATTTATATGACTATCTTTTATTATTCTTTTTATTTATTCTTTACGTCTGAAGCAGACTCAAGTAAGAGTCGGAATGAATTTCGTGATTATATGTCTTTATAGATTTTTGTATCTTCTTATTATTAAAAATATTTTGCTTTTTGGCTCAAATTTGACCTTTTTTATTATATTAATTTGTATTTACAATACGATCGTTATTTAATTATTACTTTGAAATATTGTAAAGATTAGTCAATAAAAAACGAAAACATTTGAATAAAAAAAAGAAAAGTCAAAAAGTGAATATAAATAGTCAAAATATAAAATAAAAAGTCAAATAATAAAACTATAAGAGATGTAGGAAAAAGCAATAAAACACAAAAACAAAATAAAAAAGAAATATATAAAAAACTTACCCTTAATTGTAAGATTTAAAAAAAATTGAAATGTCACAGTATTCGTCAATATCCGAAAAAACGTAACACAAAGCATGACCGTCTTACATAACAGATACTATACATTTGAGAAGTGTCAGAGAATAACCCATACAGAATGACCTATACAGCACACAAATATTGCATACACATTATAAGAATTTTTTACCGCAATGTTGCAATATTGCCATTTCACAGTGAAATATTGATGCATCATTGTTGTTGAATTGCAGCAATGTTCAAATATCCGCTTTTAGGAAGATTGCAACAAAACATCGCAATAATGCAGTGTTACTGCAATCATTAAGTAATATTGTGTTACGTCCTGTGATTCCACGGTTTCCTTCTTTACGCAACGCAGGATGATGAACACTCGGTAGAAACAAATTTTATTTTAAACAAAAATGCGGGAGATAAGACGCGAACTAAACAGAAAACTTTCAGATGGAGAACAGGAGATTGATCTGAGAAAACACGTGACAGTAAAAATCGAGTAAACACAAAGCTAAACCACGCACCCCAACGAAATAAAACAATAAATCCGGGAAACAAAAAATTCAAGACAAGCTCCGCGGCCAAACAAATGCCGGACACATGTAATAACAATGCACATGTGCCCGGAACGGCTAGGCAAAATTAATAAATCCGTAATTCGCTCGTGAAATTGTCAAAATATTGGCCCTATATTGTCGTATCGGCCCTTTAATTTATTATTTTTTGAAATTAATAAATCTCCTTATCTCTGGAAGCGAAGTTTTCATAATAAAAGACAGACGGGAACATTCGCGAGACACTAACAATTTCTGCCAAATAAAAATTATCTACATAGTTTAAACACCAGCTGCAAAGCGCAGGAGATGCTGTCACACAGATGGTATCTACTTTAATGGACTTTTAGCAAATTAAAGGTCACCACCGTTTTTGGAAGCGGACCGATCAAGCGCTCTGCTTGGAAGGCTCCGTGGCTACCAAAAAGCGCATATAAGATGACGCTCCCGCAAACAGAGTCAGAGAAAAACCGAGCCTCCATCGCGATCAGAAATATTAAGAAGAAAAAAGAAATATTAAGAAGAAAAAAAATCTAAAGTTTCACCGCGATTTAAAAACGAGCTCCAACTAGATCAAGTGCTATCTGTGCTTTGCGAATGTTTTCCGAGTAAGACGAGTGATACTTTCGGGAGTGCCGAATACCTGGCCAGCTCACCGCCGAGGACCGAACAGGCCTAGCCGAACCAGAGCCCCCGGAACAATGACCGACCATCGATTTTTTGTTATAAACTCGACAAGTAGTAAGCTAGAATAAGTTACTCTCGAATCCTCGCGAATAGTTAAAACAATGAGGAAAAGAGAAATCTTGCGGTTGAATTTCGGCTAACAAAACTAAATCAACCGCGAGTTTGCTCTTTTACAAGAACCTTGTCATTAATCGGTCATTTTTAAGTAGACGGCCATAAATTAACATCCCGGTCTGCGTCGAAGGCTCAGCGAAACCGGCGGAACCGGGCTCTAAGACGGGCTGCCGCCCTCGCGCTACACCGAGCGGAGCCGAACAGGCCTTTACAACCCGGACTCTCTCTGACCTCTGCATCACGTTTAAAAAAGCAGCGACCCAAACCGAGAATACGCGACACACACACACACACATAAACAAACCCGCAGATCGAGCGCGTATACTACACTGAAACTCACACACAAACAGAAATCGCAAACACACCGATTACTGCCTTGGATCACGAAGACGACTCCAATTCGTAGAACGAACCTCCCTCTTACTCTCCCGTACCCGTCGAGAACGTCCTCCAAATCCCTCGTGAAACCTCCTCCTCCGTCCGAAACTCTACTCCTTCCCCTCTCCTCGATTCCGACTCGGAGATCGAGATCGAGTAAAAGCGCCTGACCTCCCCTTTGCTCCTCTCAGCCTTCCAACGGGTCCGAGATAGAATTAATGGAACTTTCAGACGCACCTACACCTCCCCCTGCTTACTCTCCATCTAATTTTTTACCCCACATTTTTCGCTACTCACGATCCGATTCATCTATACCGGTAGATTTTTCTTAGATTTAAACACCATCATCTCAGAACAACTCCAAAGGATGATACCCGCACTTCCTTTCACCGAAATAATTCCGATAATTTTGCCGAACTCCCGCTTCCATTACCATATACCCGGAGCCTTTTTCCATCTGTATTACCCCCTTTTCCATTAAAATAAAATGAACTCCTTAACTCTACTTTTTTCCCGCAGACTCTGCCACGTTACGAGTCGGTTACACAAACATACACACATGTCGCCACGTTCACATAATAAGTGTA